CCCCCCGCGGCTTGGAAAGCGTCGGGGGAAGCCGGGGGCGGGGCATCCCAGGCGGCGCATAGGCCCCCCCCCGCCGGAGCCCCTCCGTGGCTTTGAAAGCCTCGGAGGGGCTCCGGCGGCGGGGCATTTGGCGTACAAGACGACCCCCGATTTTTGGGGGATGTTTTTTAACTTCAGAGGTCGTCTTGTATGCCGGAATATATGGTAAAAGCATTTTGAGCCTGGTCTCCCTGTCCCTTTGTGCTTGCAGTTAACTTAGAGCAGTGAGGACCGCCGGAGCCCCTCCGTGGCTTTGAAAGCCTCGGAGGGGCTCCGGCGGCGGGGCATTTGGCGTACAAGACGACCCCCGATTTTTGGGGGATGTTTTTTAACTTCAGAGGTCGTCTTGTATGCCGGAATATATGGTAAAAGCATTTTGAGCCTGGTCTCCCTGTCCCTTTGTGCTTGCAGTTAACTTAGAGCAGTGAGGACATTTTTGCAGAATATGCTCCTCACCTAGGCACCTAATATAGCAGGAGTGCCTGTCTGAAGCAAGCATGGGTTCCCGGCAAGTGTCATATTTTTTAAAACCAGGTGATTCCGGCATGGTTTTTCTCTTCTTTTCTATATATATTTCTCTTCTCTTTTTTTTTTTAAACTCACAGTACTACGACGTCTGTCAGTCCTCTCTTTTTTTGTTGTTGTTTGTTTTAAAGTGCTATGAAACTGTGAATTTACTGCTAAGATTAACTAACTAAGAACTATTAACACTTTAACTATCCAACGATTAACTAACAACTATTTAACTTCTGGCAGGATCTGATGAGATGGAGTTCATAGAATCATAGAATCATAGAATAATAGGACTGGAAGGGACCTCGAGAGGTCATCGAGTCCAGCCCCCCGCCCTCAAGGCAGGAGTTAATTCTATCTGTGACCAAGGATGGTTAGGAGGAACTGGCGGAAGCTGGACCGCAGTGCTCTAAGAAACGGCACAAGGCACCTAATGCACATGCACAGTCTGGTAGACCACTGCTGATGAATCTTCGATCTGCAGCACCAGGACAAGCACCCACGGGGACACCACTCGAAGAAGAATTATGCAATCTTTCTAAAAAAGTGCTAAATATATTTTTATGTTATTGAAGAGAATAAAACAAAAGATACAATTAAATTAACATTCTATTCACTTAACTTTTAAAGTGCAAATTTGACACCACAGTCAGCACTAGAATACAGAAATAATGAGGTTCTCTTCTAACTAAAAAATAATCCTCATTATATTCATTTTAAAATTAGCCCAGTCAAAATCACTCTACTCAAAACAATATTTGGATATCTGTCATATAGCCACTGATTTAAGCGTACATTTAACTGGCTGAGTAAAGGTTGCCTGAAAAATGGCAACTGAACGAGTTTCAGGCAACAAACATATGAAAACTCTATACTGAGTAATTTGTTAGGTCTGATGTTAATTCCAGTAATTTCTGCCATTCTGTCTCTCCTTTTAAGGTCTTTTATCTCTTCAGGCTATAGTCCAATGGCCTCTGAAATAATGATCTTCAGGTTCAGAAAATCAGAATTGGCTCCAACCTGCACCACATTCTACTACAATGGGAACCATGGTACATTCTCCAAACGATTGATATTATAACATGTGTTGAGTTTTCACAGAAACTCATTTGCCTGTCTAAAACTAATGTAAGCTAACATTTTCACAAGGACCTAAGTAAATTAGGCACCAAACTCCCACTAAAAGCCAATGGATGCTGGGTATGTTGCTCACTCTTATACCTTTGAAAATTTCTCAAACTCTTACCTAATTTCTAAGAGTTGTGTACGCTATACTGTTCAAGTGAAATTACTGAAAATAAAGCAATGTACATTACAATAGATAGATATAGTAATTAAAAATGTTTTAACACCCAAATCCTTTCAATTAAAATATGTAAACATGCAGTACGCATTCTCTGAGACATCTAAAACCAAGGGGAAAAAACAGATATTTCTAAGGGGAAAACAATCAGAAAAAATAATCTATAAAATCCCAAAACAATTATATGCATTTTAATACATCATAATAAATCAATACAGAGAACAAGTCCAGTTACTAAAAAATCCTGTGACATCTTTAAAACAAGTACTGGAGAAATTTGGTAAACTGTTTTATCTCAATAAAAAATTAACTGATAAATATACAAATTAGCTATCTCTTGCCAGACCACAAATGTGTATATTTATTCCTATGAACTGTTTAGAATGAATAAACATTTGATTGCTACATATAAAACATTTGCTTACACTAAATGTGGAATCAGGATCTGAGAGAAACATCATAAGATATGTACGCAAATGAGGCCAACTCTCACAATTTAGTACATCAGAGGGAGGCGCAGAGCACAATGTCTGTATTGCTTCCTGACGCACCTGAAATAAACAAAAATATAAACAAAACAATGCTTTCATCAGCACCAGAGCTGATTTAACTCTTCGGGGGGAGGCTGGTGCTACTATATTTTCTGGGGTTCCCAAGGTTCTGAAGTGGGGACAAAAATTAGAAAATCTATGTGTGAGAGAGGGATGTGGGTAGAGGCAGATGGTAGGTGTAGGAAAGGATGATAGCTCTGACTGGGGTGCAGGCTCTGATGTGGGCTTGGAATAAGGCATTTGGGGTGCAAGGCATTCCAGCCTGTGGTTAAGGGATTTGGAGTATGGCAGAGGGCTCAGGGCAGGAGTTTGAAGCTGGGGGTGCAAAGTCTGGGAGGGAGTTAAGGTAGGGGAACAGCCTCAGGGCTGGGGCAGGAGGTTGTGATGCTGGGCAGCTCCAGTGTGGAAGGGATGTGAAAGGGTAACCAATTAATGGTTAAAAACATTACATTTAACTGGTTAACCAATTAAATGGGAATTGACAGATGGTTCTACATGGCCTAGGCTCACTTTTAGGCATTACCCCCTGAAGTTCCCACTGTCCAGGGTACAGAGCCTGTAGGCAAGGGTAGTGCCAGAACAGGCCTAGCTAGTGTGATTCTTGGAGTTAGGAGAAGAGGAATGGTAGTACACACAATCGCCTCCCCATACCCTCACCAGGCAGAGCCAACCTATAATGCAGCATGCATGGGTTTTAGTGGCTACAGTCCAGTCCTCCTATTAGCTTAGGGCCCTGGCCTGCCACCACTTAAGCCCCTTTCTTAATTTGGCCCTGATTAGGATCATTACTATGAAACACTGATGTGCTTTTTGTGGGGAAGCAGTCAAGGGTGATAGAACACAAAAAGCAAGAATTAAAAAACATCCTCTATAATGTCAATAGACCATTAAAATAATTTGAACAAAACAGTGAAGTAAAAAAGCATACTTTTTTAAAAAATACATAATTAAATTAATAAGGACTATGTTGATTCCTATTATTATTTTATTTTCCTATAAAACTATATATTTTATTATCAAACACAAGATTATACTAAATCATTAAATTGCTTTACTTTATCATTCAAATGCCACAACCTGGAGTAACAGCATCACAAAAAATAAATAGCAATTTACTGCCAAACATCTTTTAAATTTTATAGTTGAACTTCCAAGAGTTTAATCTCCATTGTAGTCCATCTTAAATAACAATGCTGTAGCTAATGTCTCTTTGTACATCAATGTACTCTATGGTTAGTTATTTCAAGTTACTGAAACCCCCTATAGAAAAGTTTAATGTGACCAGGTGGGTGAGGCAATATATTATTGGATTATTTTTTGTTGATTAAAGAGACAACTTTTTAAGATACACAGCCTATTTTACAGTATAATACAGGCAGTCCCCGGGTTACGGACAAGATAGGGACTGTAGGTTTGTTCTTAAGTTGAATTTGTATGTAAGTCGGAACTGGTACATATTGTAGGGGAACCTCTAGCCAAACATTTTTTTTAGTTTTGGATAGCATAGGGAAAGGTTAACTCCCCTCTAATGTTTGTTTTGCTGTCTGTTCCCCTGTTCAGAAGATTTCACATCTATTTCTGTCCCTGTGACAAACTCAGGACTAAAGGAGTAACTCATCAAATACCAAACAGCTCTGCACCATGCTTTGAGCTAATAGCTTTATTTCCACACACCACCCAGGGTTCTAGGAGGAGGGTCCTTTTTTTGCTAACACAATGAGGCCAGCACTTTGTTTGTTTTGGTGGAGTCTTTGTTTGCCCAGGGAGCCCAGCATGTATAGGGGGAGGAGGGGCGGAGAGGCTGCTTTTGTCTGCTGTTCGGCAGCCTGTTGCTCAGGGGAGGGGGCAGCCTGTCGCTGGCAGGGGGAAGCACTTTTCCTCTGCCCGGCAGCTCTCCGGGACCCCAGTCGGAGCCGGCCCGAGGAGGAGGAGGATCCTAGGACCCAGGTGAGCGAGCCCCGGGGACGCTGCTGCGCGCCGGGAGCCCGGCATGTATAGGGGGAGGAGGGGCGGAGAGGCTGCTTTTGTCTGCTGTTCGGCAGCCTGTTGCTCAGGGGAGGGGGCAGCCTGTCGCTGGCAGGGGGAAGCACTTTTCCTCTGCCCGGCAGCTCTCCGGGACCCCAGTCGGAGCCGGCCCGAGGAGGAGGAGGATCCTAGGACCCAGGTGAGCGAGCCCTGGGAATGCTGCTGCGCATGTGCGGGAGTTGCCTCACCCCGTTCGTATCTAGGGATCCGACGTAAGTCGGATCCACGTAAGTCGGGGACTGCCTGTACATTAAAATATACAATGTTTAACTATAAAATAAATGTAGTGTAGAAATACTGATAACAAAAACTTCTTTACCTGTTGTAGCCATATTTATAATTCAAAATAGAATGATGGTTTCAACTGTAAATATCGTTATTATTGTTTTATTGTAATTATAAAGTCCACAGGATGAAACTCCGAACCCATTAAAGTCATTTACGATTTTGCCATTCATTTCAGTAGAGCCAGAATTTACCCATGTTTATGTACCTGTACCATATTCTCAAATATACCATAAGTTTTCATTTATATAAGTGATATATTAGGTACTCTTTTCACTCACTTCCTTAGGATGAGCAGGATCAAGCCTTTCCACAAGTAGCTGTAATTGTTCTTGATTCATGAATGTATAACTCTGTAACAAGCAATGTAAAATCCTATTAAATTCACCACTAATTACTAAAATAATCAGATTTTATGGATATAAAATTTACTTTTGATCAGTGAGGCTGTTAGTATTTATCTTAATGCAACATTACAGTTGAAATTTTAAATGGCCAATGTTCAGAAAATGCCAACTTGAAATTCTAGTAACAAGTTTCTGTCTTCTTTAGTCTCCCTATGTATTACAAAATTATTATTCATTACTAAATAATGTAGTATGCCGTTAATAATATAGCATAGTATTGCATGTTGGAAAAGAAACACATATGTTTTACTGTTTTTCCAATAAAAATGCAAATAGGTCAACTGAATATTATATTATGTCATTTTCACCTTTTTCTCATGTTAACTGCACATATTTTGCAGATGATACATATCCACAGATTTGCATACTCACAGATGTTGTAAATGTAAGGAACCATGTTTTCCATGACCCTAAGGCAACTGAACTGCCAAAGAATTTACCCTTTGCAGCAGAATCTGGCTGCAGAATCTAAGTCTTCATCTTTAAAAAACAGATTCAATTCTGCTATCGCTCACCTGAAAAGATTCTTTAGAGATCATCTTTTAAACAATCACTTCAAGGTTGAGATCACATGTATGTATACTCAAACAAAAAGGTAACTTTCTTCAAAAAGATGTAATCAGTTGTAAATGGGGGTCTAAACTGAAAGTGCCATCTCATCCTTAATTATAACATCACACACTACTCACTACTGTAATAGAAAACCATAAATATCAAATTAATCTAGATTACTAATTTATGTTTCATACCTATTGTAGCCTTATAATTTTGTAGGTAATAAGTTAGTTACAATGAATGTATGCTATAGAATAAGGTTTGGATTAAACTTACACACAAGGGCTGTGTCTAGACTGCATCCCTTTTACGGAAAAGGGATGCAAATTAGACACATCGCAATTGCAAATGAACCGGGGATTTAAATCCCCCCCCTCCCCCGCTTCATTTGCATAAAAATGGCTGCCGCTTTTTTCCGGCTCGGAGCTTTGCCGGAAAAAAGCGCCAGTCTAGACGCGGATCTTTCGGAAAATAAAGCCTTTTCCGAAAGATCCCTTATTCCTCTTAAAATAAGGAATAAGGGAGCCTTTGGAAAAGGCTTTATTTTCCGAAAGATGCGCGTCTAGACTGGCGCTTTTTTCCGGCAAAGCTCCGAGCCGGAAAATAGCGGCATCCATTTTTATGCAAATGAAGTGGGGGGGATTTAAATCCCTGCTTCGTTTGCAATTGCGATGTGTCTAATTTGCATCCCTTTTACGGAAAAGGGATGCAGTCTAGACACAGCCAAGACGTAGGCCTCAGACAAGCCAGGCAGTTTTGCTAACTTAGCTCCAGCTCTGTTTGATGTTAGTATGTTCTGATGTTAAAGTAAAGGTATGGAATATTGTAATGAATAGTGATGTTAATATTAGGTACAGCCTTGTAATACACAGAAAGAAGTTGAATATTGAAAGACTCTGTAACTTTATTAAAGTGAATAGAAGTACCCTTTATTCTGTGCTGCAATTGTGTAAATGTATTGTTTGTGTGAATGAAAGAGAGAATGTTTTAGGAGTGATAAGTGTGAAGGTCACAGCATGCCCAAGTGGTCAGAGGAGGAGCTGGAGATTCAGAAGCACCAAATAATTAGCAACTAAGTGAAAGCACACGGAAGACACAAACTGCACCGAGGCAGACTGACAAGCCCTGAAGTTAGTGGCAAGCACCTCTTGATAGGAAACCGATAACAAATTTTGACAGAAGACAACACCCAAGAGGGATCGTCTGCGCACTGATATAAAATGACAGCGAGAACAACTTCCAGATTAATATATGACTCAGAAAGACTGTTTGTGATGCTGAGGAACTGACTAAGGCCTGACAAGGCAAAATGCATAGACTCACATGGAAGGAAAATTCTATAAAGGATGGGGTGCCTTGTATGGTTCTTAGGGTTCTGTCCTGCTATGGCTATGGAGCATCAGTCCGGACTGACAAGAACCCGGCTTCTTCCTCGTATCTGACCTATCTAGCTAATAGGCTGGACCGAGCAACAGACTGGTAACTATTCCATCAGCAGGGGGCACACGCGCATGCGCATGCGTGCGTGCAAATGCATATGATACTTTGTTATATTATCAATAAATGCGGCGTGTTGTCTTATTCCCCTGAAAAAGGTCCTGTGTGCTTCTTTTAAGCATAACACCATTTCACAATAGAAGTCCAAATTATGATATCATACCTGATTGAAAGATGAATCACTATCAGAGCAATTGTCTGTATAGTAAGCACTACGTTGCTCTTTCTTCGTTTTCCTCTGCATTTCCTTATTACGCATCTGATCTTCTTCAAATTTGTTAATCAGAGATTCCACCACTACCATCATGACATTCTTCAAGGAATGCATCATTTCTCTATACCTTCAAAGACAGAGGTAAGAATAATACTAAATAACATAAAGATCACTAATTACATTATTAATAATGGAACAAGGCATGCTATTACATTAAAATTTCACTGAATTTACTCAGTGAACTAAAAAGTTTTTAAATAAAAACAAAACATTATATATATATATATATCCCAAGTAATTAACAATGTGTGTGTAAACTTTAAAACTAGATAAATACATCTCAAAAAAACCCAAATGCTCTTCCTTTTTGTGCATCTGCTTTATCTATTCAAATGACAATACTAAAATTAAAAACAAACCGCGTAAGAGCATAACATACTTGGACCTGCATTCCCAGTTTTTTTTTTTTACTAAACTGTACTCCACACTCAGATGTTCTTCAAAAATAATAATGTGAAAGCTAAAAGCAAAATATGGCCCTAACAAAATCCTCATTACTATTTCTGTCCCCACAAGTTTAATTAATTTTTTTCCTTCCATAAAAGTCCTCTGTGAAAGCAGCAGTACAGAATGCATGGATGGAGTAACCCTCAAATTCAAGTTCTTGAAAGCAAAGTTAACCTAAAATGTATAATGTTTAATAAGCGACAGATTCACATAGCTTTAGTAGCTATCCATAGTGCTGTGCACAGTGAAGTTCCACCTCAAATGTTCTTTTGAAATTCTTCCTTCATTAAGAGTCCATATGTGAAGATTAAAACTTCTTAAATCCTCTAAAATATCATCTTTCAACCTCATTAGTTGTTGACCACGTGTACTACTTCCTCCAACCTCAGTTCTGCAAGCCTTCTGTAAAAACATACATTACAGCTGTCTTGCTCTCAGTTGATACAAGATTACAATTTTGCTTGCAACAAAATCAAACTAAGAGATGTAAGAATATACTTCTGACCCTGAAAACTGTCTAAATTCTCTCTCCTCAGCGGGTTCTGCTCCATCTAAAAGACTTGTTGTGATGGGGTGTCCAACACACACTGTCATGAATGAGGTGAATAGTGTCCTAAGAGACTGCTCAAGAAGTGGCCAACAGGACAGACGCTGCAAATAGCAGATAATCGAAACTCAGCAGACCTATATACAAAGTGCTTAACAGCAAAGCAGGAGCAGTTAATACAGAAAAGTGTTGACTAGACATACCAAATTGTTAAGTACCCCATACTGAAATAGCAGTAACTATAGTACTGTATTCTCTGATACACTGAGTGAAAATCATCTGCAAAGTCAATAAATTCAATGTTAACTACCATTTTTGTACTTATTCTGCAATGGCATTCCACAAGGCATACATAAAATGAATTATAGATCACCTTTCTGGAAACCGCACTGGTTACCTCTCCTTATAGAGTTGAGACAAAACTAGTATCAGTTCAGTAATTTGATCATAAAAACCTTCCTTGGGACTGATAATATTGTTTTTCCACAATAATTTGAGAATATGATTTATTTTCCTTTGTGGAAAAAAAAGAAATATGATGCAGCCACTTTTCTGTTCTTCTGGAATGTGACTGGTTTCCCAAACTTTTTTTGATAAATTTATGAAGCCAGTGAATTAAATCCAGATTACCACTCTTTAGCAGTTCTGATAAAATGTTACCAAGGCCTGGTCCTTCATAATTTGCAAACTGTTTGACCACAAGTATCATTTCTTCTAATGTTGCTAGCATATTTTCTGTTGAGCTCATTTTTGGATTAAGTTGTAACATACATCTTGATAAGGATCTGGCCATTAATTCTCAAAAATTCATACCAACTCTGAAATCAACTATCAATATCCTTGCAATATTTTCTATTTTTATCCTTAACTAGTGGAAGTCATGAGAATGGATGTCTTATTAGAACAGTGAAAATCTCAAATATACATTTCTAGTCGTGTCTTTCAGAGGCTTCCTCAATATGCTGTGCCATACTATTCCACCACTGATTAGGATCATTTTGATCTTAACTATTTGTTCAATATATTTCTTCTCTTTCATTGTTCATTTTGTCTTTTCTTCGTTAACTGATCTCAACTTCTATTTCACCCATTCTACACTGCAATTATTTTTCCCATAATTGGAGGATACCATCTGTAATGTAACATTTCTTTTTCAAACTCCTTAATTCTAGCTGTTCTCCAGTGATATCAGTATCAGATTCCCAAACTAAACTCTACTCTTCTGCGGTACACAACTAGTCATCCAATATAGAATATGTATTGGAAATCACTACCACTTAACTGTTAGTTATGAAGCTTATCAAAACTGAAGTATTTTGGTGCAGTAGGTACTAAAGCAGATCATTGCTGCTATTAAGAATCAATTATCAGATTCCAGAACAAAATCAATGTTCCTAAATATATGTTCATCTCAGATGAGTTTAGTAACAGGGTTCCAAACTAGCATGTGATTCAAAGTTGAACTATTGCCTGATGGATAGTGAAATATATACAATGCCTGTCATGAAACCAGATAGTTATCAAAATAGTTCATGAGGGGATGCAAATCCAAGTAACACACACCATTATCTTGTTTCTCTTCCAGTAAGCTGTGTGGCTTCAATACAAGTTCAAATCCATTTCTGCTATGACCAAAGTTAATATTTATTAAACTCCTTCCATTCAAGAAATAGAATGGAGATGGAGAAAAATAGTCAATTGCCAGACCTTTGTGAAGTCAGTAGGATCCACATGTACATGCCTGAAAACAAAACTTTATCCATATAAGGGAATTATATATAATAATAGTTTCATTCTGAAGGAGGTCAAAGCATTTCACAGATTATATAAGCTTAGGACCTAAAAAATGCAGCCATATATGGCAGCAGCTCAGTGAAAAATGTGCATGTTTCAGAACTCTAGACAAGGAGCAACTTTGGTCAAGCATTTGTACGAAGGAAATAAAGTCACTAAGATCTATCCAGAAAATTAGTAAATGGCACATTCACACTGTGGTTTGCTGTGTACTAAATCATCATGTGACCCCTACCATGCACTAAAAGTTCCATAGTTTAGTTAAACAAACTATAGTTTGAAACTGAACTTTCAGTGAACCACATGGCCAGGGTCCACATGGCAAGTTAGTATGCAAGAAGCAAGTGCACTGTAAATTGACATCCTGGCTTTTATCTCTGTTTAGAAAAGCCCAAAGAACTTAATGCTGGTGGGTTTTGAAGCTACAAACTTAACGTGTTTGGGTATCTCAAACTTAATGAGTAAAGCATTAAACTACTTCCACTGGAATTATACTAATGTAAACGAGTATATCTTTTGAAGGAGAGAAGGATAAACAAACTCAGACTTCACATTAAAGAACAAAGCTGCCCTTGCAACTGCTTAGGTCAGCTCCGGGTCCTGACCCTTCATGATAAAAGTAAATAAGATCTTTGCCATTGACTTCAATGAGCACAAAATCAAGCCCTCAAGCCCAGATCCTACAAGACTTAGGCATGTTGGTAACGTTAAACATAAAATTCAAAAGCTGAGTTCAAAAGCACATCTGACAAACTATTACATTTAGTGCCCAAAGAAAAGCCAAGAGCAGTTGGTTAAGAATGGATTTGTAGTCTCTACATAGGAATGATAGACTTCTAAAAATAGTTTTGCTATGTGTTGCTAAAGTAATTCATTAATAACAATTAGGTACTAATTAATTAACAAACTAATGTAAGGATTTTATCCTGCAATAAAACTTCTAAATTCTTCTTTTAGCAGGACTACTCCATACATTACCATATATCATATATTACCAAATTATCATTAAAAGTATCATTAAATATATAGTTCATAATCCAAGGGTTCAATTTCCAAGACAGACACTTAAATAGTTATATATCCAGCATAACCAGGAGAGTAAAGTTATCCACAATGGGGAATACCCAGTCTTTAAATCATATCTACTAAACTGTGAGACCAAAACAGAACATTACCAGAGCACTGAATTTCTTGGTTTCATAGTGTGACAAATTTTGGAACAGGTGATGTACAAGATACTATTTAAAATTAGCTTACAATTGCAGTCGTTTTGTTTCTTTCCAGATGTGAAATCTTTTGAAAGCAACCATTTAATGATGAATGCCTATCGACATGGAAACAAACTTTGATTGCTTTCACTTTCTGCTGAACTGAGATCTTAAAATTAAAACAAATGGACTTGGTAACCCAATCACTTCTGTTCTTAACACAATTTAATAGATATGAATTCTGTACTGTGCAACAAATACGTATGCAGAAAAAATAATTTTGTCTGACTTAGTATAAAGATACATTGTTTTGTTCACAAAAGGTAAACTGTGAAACAAATAAAAAGTGTTTTTCTGTTTATGTCGCATAAACATGAGCTCAAACTCGAAAATATAAATTTCTGTTTTTCAGTATTTCCCACTTTTCTTTCTCTGAGGCTATCAAGCACAGTGATATTGTAAACTGACATTCAATAATCTCTGAGTTCAGGCTGGAAATGAGGGATATTTCAGTGAAACATCCCTATTCATAGAGCCTTGTTTAACAACACTGTTCATGTACCCAAAGACCTAGCATACATTTTGGAACCGCAATTGCTGAGACAAAGTATTCCTTCATTTCAAAATTCAAGGCAAATAGGTTGTTTGGAATGCAAAGGTTCATCAGTGCTATACTAGATTTTAACTTTGTACTTAATAGGAATGTGAAAGGTTAACTGGTAAGCATGACCCTTAATGGGTGATGATAAATGGGTGATGCTTACCGGTTCCGGTTAACCAGTGGGGGCTGGAGCAGCATCTCACCTGCTATGGGGCCTGCCATGGACAGGAATACTCCAGCCTGGCCAAAGCAGCCAGTGGGGGCACTCCAGTGACTAGATCTGGCTGGGGTTGCATGGTGGGGAACCTGATGGGGGTGCCAGGCCCATGGCTTCCTCCCCACCTGTGCCCAGCTCAGCGGAGGACAAGGTAGAGAGTGAGCAGGAGTCTGGCTCACAGTGCCTCACACGCCCCACAGAGCACTAGCTGCTGGGGCTCTGCTCTGTTTACTGTGGCTGGCTCCTCTCCCCTGGTGTGGAGCAGCAGCGCAGCCAGGGCAGGACAGACCCAACTGTTGCTGGGGGAGCTGTGGAAGGACTGCCAGGGAGTCCTGGCTGCTGACACAGGCCCCCTACAGATATACAAGACCTTCCCTCCTATCCCATGTATGTTCCTCCCCAGTTCTGGACACGGGCAGGAGTACCCTGGCTTCTCATGCTGCAACTACTCCTGCCTTCCCCAGAGGCGCCAAGTAGGTTGGAGCCACTCTGCCTGGTTCATGTGTGGAGCGTGCAGGCTGGGGGGCCTAGCTGTACACATCTCCCTCTTTCCAGGGGTGGGGACTAGGCGCCCTAGAACTGGCTCCTTTTAGGTTTAAGCTCATGGTGGGGGGGAGGGGTTGTTCCGTTGTCCAAGAGCTGTCCCATAATCCCTCTATTTTGGATTTTCTGTTTTTTGGAAATCTTTTGTACAACAGTGAAGCAACAATGTTCAACCTTAATCTCGATTTTAACTTTCACGTTTTCTGAACCTAATATTTGGGGGGAAAGGAGTGTTTTGGTTGCTTCGTTGAGTCTGGTTTTTTAGTGTATGGTTCATGTAGTAGTGGATTGTGATGGGGTATTTTACACATCTCTGAAGTGTTAGGCATTCCAGATCTAACGTCCCATTATGTAATGTTTTGGCCATGATCTGACCATTTGTATTTTGAGGAGAGAAATCCCATGTTAACGCTATATTAATGAGGATTGTTTTGTGGAAGGTGGGAAAAGGTATTTGTAAATGAATCCACAATCTCCTGTTAAAAATCTGTTCTCTGGAAAGAGCAAAGAATTTAGAACATTTTCCCCACTCACTGATTTCCCGCCTGTGATGGGGGGTCGCTGCCCCGTACTCCAAGCCGCTCTGCGCCCGCCATGTATGCGGCGCATGGAGTCCAGCATGCAGCATGAGCCAGGTGTTCGTGGGTCACAGCTCAGCTACGTCACTCCGCAGCCTCAGAAGTCGGGAGTGACAGCCGTGCCACGCGCAAGCCGGATGTGACACAAAGGCAAAGGGGCGGGGTCAAGAGGACGTCAAATGGAAGGTGGAGGGCGCAGAGTTTAAAATGGGCGCAAAACAACAGTGCAGGGGAGGAGGAGAGGGGAACAGCACGGGGAGCGGAGGAGATCCGGGAAGTATTGGATGGTTGAGGGAGCAGGGAGATGTAGTGATGACCCGTGCGCTGCCAGAGAGAATATGGCAGATGTGCAAGGTGGCTGCTAGAGGAAAGTGAGGAGGAAATAGCCTAGGACAGGGCATATTGTTGAACCTGTGGGCTGGCACGTTTCGGCAGGAACACAGGAACGGTAATAGTCCCTGTCCTTAGGGTCCTGGGCTGGGGCCCATGAGTGAAGGCGGGTTGGGACCCCCTCTCCCATCTGCCAAGAGCGGAAACACTGGACTAGCTGTACGTTGGTGAAGGTTTGTACGGGCTACCGCAGGAGCAGTGAGACTTTAAAAACTATACATAAGGTGGACTCCGAGACTTGAACCGGGGAGAAAAAGGGAGGAGGGAGTGAACTCAATTAAATAAACCCCCTTGTGAGCAAGAGGGAAGATGGGCGAATAAACACACCTGTTAACACCGCCACTCAATTTTTTTTATTAACCTCTCTTATGCACACTCATTGCATGACTATTTTGAACTTTTATATTTAAAAAAAAAATTGTGGCCCACATTTACAAAAAGGCAGAAATGTGGGCCACAATTCCTGCATACGAGCCTGCAGTGGCTTCCTAACTGCTCCCTGGGCAGGCAGCGTGACAGCTGCCCAAAGCAGGAGACGGGCTGTGGTGTGACTGCTCATGGGGCTAGAGCCCCCTACATCTCTCTTTCCCCACTCCTACATTTCTCTTTTTCCCCCTCTTCTCCCAGTCACCAGATGTCACTGCACCACCCCTAGCACCTCACTTCCTTCGAATCCAGGGCACTGGAAGATGCTTCCCTTTGCCCAGGCAGGGGCTCACAGCCAGCCAGTTCCATGAGGAGCAGCCTTGGGCAGTCTCTGCCCTGCACAGATGCTGCCAAGGTACACAAGGTAGGGAGGTGCTACATGGCAGTATCTTGGGGAGCAGTGCCACTAATGTGGCACACATCCGCACAAGCGCACATGGCCTCATTGTTGGCGCACAAGACAAAACTCACTCTGCTCATGGATGGAAAATCTTAGAGGGAACACTGGGCAGGAGCTCAGGAGGAAGGGGTGGGGCCAGCACACTTCTGTGCTTCTCTGCCCACAGACCCTCATTGGCCTGGGGTTGAGGCAGCACAGGAAGTCTTTGCCCCTGCCCTCATCCCAAGAGAACCGCCAGCTGTTCTGAACAGCTGATGGTTCCCTTTAGGCGCCTGTACCTCTGGTGGCTGGAGGAGACTTTGTGCACAAAGTCTCACACACTCTCTGCCCGCACCCTGCAAGGAGGCGCAGCACTTAGAGTAAACTTAGAGTAGACTGTAAGTGCTGCACACCCCTGGCAAGGGAGGAGACTTTGTGCACTCCCCTGTCCCCAGGCCTTGAATGGCCTGAGGGCAGGGGAGCGGCAGTGCATCCGCAGGCTGGGTCAACCCCCTTAATGGGTTGATCCAGCCTGTGGAGGCCCTTTTACCCATCCCTGTTTTAGAACCAAAACAAGTTAGGCCACACAACCTTATCAAGTGCATATTTTAAAAATACATTTTATATGTATCCTGTGTACACTCACTCTTTTGATTCGCGAGTCTTCTTAGTAACATGTTGGGCAAGAGTGTCATAACCAGATCCTTCACCCTGATTTTGAGCAGAGGTACATTTTTCTGTTTCTTCTTCAATCACAGAGCCCAGAGTGGTACGAATGTATTGTCGAAGGTATTTCACAAACTCATAGCTGCAACAAATATTCATAAAATTAAATGTGTTTCATTATATTCATGTTCCAAATGTTTTCAACATTACAAATGTAACATTTTTTTCCAGCATACACAACTTTCTAAGCCCTAGTACTTTTTAAGAATTAAAAGGAGTTTTTCAACAGGTTGGACACCAAACCATGAGCACTGGAACAATTTGCATCGGGGTTGGGGCAAAGCGGGTGCTGACGAGAGCCACAGGACCAAACTGTAAACCCTGTATATGATAGAAAACTCTTCAAATCAGGGAGCACTGACACACATTTTAGAAACCCTAATTCTAGCACCAAACAAGCCATTTTGATTTTCTTGAATGTCTTCAGTATTAGTATATCAAAGGAATGCCTCAGTAAGTCATAAATCCTTTTTGTGCCCATAAAAATATTCTCCTAAATGCAAAGATCTATATTAATACCATAATGAGGTTGCACAGTCAAAAATCACAACGTATTAGGAAATGAGGAAATTATGGGTCCAAGAACATTAACTTGAATGCCCTGATAAACATACCCGTTTCAAGTTATTTTATGGCAATTAATAATCGTTGATGCAAGTTATACAGGAAACTACTTAAATTTGCATAGGAAATGACCTGCACTGTTAAGCTGGGGGTGTGAGGTTAGTCTGGCTAGCCAAATTAATGGAATAGTGTTTTATGACTGGAAAGAGAGAGAGAAGAAAACTGCTGCAAAAGGGAATAAGGAGCTAGCACAAAGATGCTAACTCATCCCCTGGGAACCGGATGGGCAGAAAGGTTTCAAAGCCCCCTTTTATTTGGAGCAGTCGGAGGCAGCACCCAATCTCCTTCTCTTTGTTTGATGAAATACCAGGATTGGTCAAGACCTGCTGTGAGCATTGCGCTAGCTGCCCCATGTTGAGAAGAAATTGGAAGGAATTTTTCCTTATCTTCAGATTGACCTAGATGGATTTGAGCAGGTTTTTTTGTTTGTTTGTTTAGTTGATTGGTTTTCAAGGGGGTCGTTTTGTTTGCTTCTTTATTTGGGCCTTCCCCATAGTGTGTTCAGGAAGCATTTTTCATATGTATGGCATGAAGGGCGATAGGCTGTATGTTGCAACTCATTATTTAAATGTGGGATGGATGTGCAATGAAGGTACTCCATACATAACGTATACAGTGCCCAGAAAAATGGCTTCTAAAAGGAAAGGAATTTGAGGGTGGAGGATCCCTATTAGGTATGTTAGATAAAGTGTAACTGAATAGTCATGTAACTGCATGACATCTTATCGGTTACATAACAATACGATAGTCCCCGGCGGCGGGGCCAGCAGGTAGCGTGCTCCCAGACCAACTCCCCAGGAGTCCCCTGCTACCCTGCGCTGCTGCTCTGGAAAAACCAGCTCCCCAAGCAGACCAGCTGCCTACTGCCCCACGCTGCTGCCCCTGATACAGAGGCAACAGCGTGGAGTGGCAGCAGTTCCTGTCCAAAGGGGTCCAAGCTCCCCAAGTGAAGAGGCTGCTGCAGTGGGGAGGAGGGGGGGGAGGCTGCCACGGAGCAGCCTCTTCCCCATGCTGCTGCCCCTGATACAGAGGCACCAGCGTGGGGTGGCAGCAGTTACTGTCCGCGAGGGGTCTGAGCTCTAAGGATGTTAAAACATGATTACATGGCTAATCATATGACTTAACGAGCAGTTGATAAGTGCTGCTGTGCAGAGCCTCCACAGCAGAGGTAGCTCCAAGAAACGGATCCAGAGCCACTCATACTGCTGCTCTGCATTTTAAATGTAGAGGAGCAGCAATCAGCATGAGCTGGGACTACTAGGTCCCAGCTCACACTGAGTACAGCAGGCCCTGTTCATGGTGGACTGTCCTGTCCACCACAAACAGGGGCTGCTGGAGTCGGCATGATCTGGGACTGAGCAGTCACTGCACCCCAGCATTTAAAATGTAGTAGTAAGAGCACAGCAGCTCTTACTACATTTAACATACAGAGCCGCAGCATGGGTTGCTTCAGAGCCTGCTCCTAGAGTTACCTCCACTGTGGCTCTGCACAGCAGCACTTATCAGCTAGTTGTATAGTTGATACAAATCAACTATACAATGGGGGAAACTGGCTTTTAAGCTGGCTCCCGCCCATCCCCTTGCTGCCTCTGTCTGAGCTGGGGATCAGCTGTGCAGGGCTGCCCCTTTGAACGCTGCCTCAGTGTTTCAAAGGGGCAGCTCCGCATAGCTGATCCTGGGATCAGCTGGGGAGTCCCCAAGTGATCCCGGCTCCATATGGCATTTCAAAACTGGCACCCGCATGCAGCCCGGAGTCAGTAGGACTTCCCACTGGCCCCTGGCTGCATGCAAAGTTCCGCATTCCTCCTCTGAAATGTACAAGAGCCCCTACTTATACATTTCAGAGGAGGAATGCGGAAGTGCCTATCAACTATCAGAAATTCCATCGACTACTCGACTAGTCAATTAACCGCTAGTTAACATGCTTAGCATAAACCTCCCTGGTAATTATGGAATGAATATGGGGTTACCTGCACTATATACTTTTTTATCTGTCAGTTAGACCCAGACATTTAAAAATAAAATTGCAGCCTGATTAAACCCATTTCATATGTCTCTAGTCCCTCATTCAGTATAGCCAGATAGCAGCAAATACGTGTATGCAATTACATTAAAAATTGTTCAAAGCTTAACTTCTGAGTTTCCTGGCAGTAATTTTAGCTTTGCAATTTTCACATCACTTTCATGCAATCTCTTGCATTTAAATTACTGGATTTCATCCAGGAAAAAAATCTGAATTTAGTTCACATCCTCTTTCAGCAGAACTAGTGAGTTCTTGAACCAATCAGTGCACAATTCACAAGTTTCATGAATTCACAAGTTTTATTTAGGAAAAAGTAGTTTATATCCCATTAAAGCAGGGGCTTGCCTGGATCTGGCCCCCAAGGTTTGAGGTTCTCTTCCAGTATTGGGGAGCCCATAATGATGTTCCAGATTCCCATGAGGCTTAAGAACAAAAAATCTACTAGCCTAGTCCCCCTAGGCTGTGGTGTGCAAGGGAAATGTAGGAAGCGTCTTTCTGCTTCTCAGATGAGAGCCACATCAGTGAGGATGTGTTTTGAGGGTTTTTTTGCTTCTCACTTGCCCCCCGAATGATTTTTTCTGTAGGTCAGTGCCCCCAAACCAAAAAAATATTTCCCACCCCTTCATTAAAGCAAATGGGAGGTAAGCATGATCTTAAGTGTTTTACTGAATCAAGGCCATATTACATGTGTATCTAGAATATTAAAGAAATGTTCTATGTTGCCATTTCATTAGGCAAATTTGATATACTGTAATCATAACTTTGTTAAATTAAAATCACTGGCTTTTCAAACAAATAAAAGACAAAACAATCCACACTGAAGACTAATCTCTAGCTTCAGGCTTATTTGAAGTAACTATTTTTTTAAAAAGATGGCCAGACTAGATGAACAATGTAATCTTGATAAACTATTTATTTTGCATTGTGGTAAAACATACAGCAAGTTACCACAACAAAGTGATTACACAATAGTTGTTTGTAGGATTACTTTACATTTTGATTATATCACATGTGGATGCGAAGTGGGAGCATGTAAGCAGGTACTTTGTGTGAGCTGAGAAAGATCAATGTAGACAGTGGACATGCAAATACATGGTGTATTGGTTTTATTACATGAACTGCCCAATCCTGGAAAGTGTACATGAAGACAAAAGCAGCTGTTGAAATGGCTGGCATAGTTTCTTTTTTCCTGAACATTTTAAAAACAAGTATGAAAGTCAAGTTATTTTTGTTACCAACTACTTCATGTAATGATCTTTTTATCAGATTAAACTCTTGACTACTTTAAGACACTTTTTGTGTAATAGCTCTAAATTTTTTCCTCTTCCATTTATTTCCTTTAGTATTTTATTTTTACCGTTAGTAGAAATAACATGCATTTCAAGAAAAAACATAACTTTTTAGCTTCTCTGTTCATTTTCTGTCTCTTTTCCCTTTCACTTGTTTATAAGGTTAGCTCAGCCATTACTATACTAAAAGAACACTGTGGCGTTCTGCCAAATGAAAGCTCTCATACATCTTTTTTCCTCATTTTTTAATGGCTGGTGTGTTCACAGAATGTATTTTTACAGTAACGGCTTCATTCTCATAAACAATAATACTTTAGAGATCACAGCACAGTGCATTTGCTACAGAGGAAGATAGTAGTCCTAAAGAGACACTAAATGTATAATATTGTTGAGATTACAGTGTTCCCCTTTGCAGCTTATTTCATCTTTTCACAAGTTTGCTACAAAATAATGGAGAGTTTAAATTTCTGCACAGGCTTGCAAGTTCAAATCAAGGTACACTGTTGGTATTCCTCAAATCTGAAGAAATCAAGGTAAATCTGATTATTTAAAAAAATGCTAAGTTCTATTAAATGTGAATCAGCTTGGACTAAACTTTGTGAAGACAAGTGTCATGCATTCTGTCCTTCCGTGGCAGATTCAAATTAAGGGTTCCATGTTTCCTGCTGCTCAACATCAAAGGAGGAGGAAAGAGTAAACAACAACCTCAAAACTTAAAGGAGCCTGGGGGAGCCGTCTCTTCGTGGCATAATGCGATCACTTTGTAAACCATTGAAAGCCCATGTATACACCACTGGGAAGGGAAGGTTACTCACCTGGTGCAGTAAATGGAGTTCTTCGAGATGATTATCCCTATGGGTGCTCCAGTTTAGGTGCTTGAGGGCTGCTGCACCTCCCCAATCAGAGACTTAAGGAAGGAGTACCCACAGTTGGCTGTGCATGCAGAGCCACCAGCATGCAACACTTGAAATGGATATCTTGTACATGCGGCCAACCATCTCCATTTCCTTCTTTGACCTGTATGTAGATGATTCTGAAGCAGAGAGTAGGAAGGGTGGATGGTGGAGCACTCAGAGAGACAACCATACTGAAGAACTCCAGTTACTGCCCAGGTGATTAACCTTCCCTTCTTCTTCGAGGAGTGTC